TGCTGTAGCCAAAAGAATTTCATAAGACTACAGCAGCACAGCACTGCAGCACCAGCGGCAGACCCGCGATGGAATTGACGCGGTTCCTTGGGTGTCTCTGTCTCGCCTTCATATTTCATGCGGGTTTCTGAGACCCAGACGTCCGACTCTGGCCCTGATGTTGCTCCGAGGCAAAGCATCGGAGCTCGAGGAAGATATGGAGGACCCTCTGGAGCCCCAGGAAGATTTGGAGGCCACGAGCTTGGCAGAAGGATCAGGTTCTGCACCGAATTCAGACTTGAGGTCCTTCTGCCTCCTCAGCCGATGGCTTCAGCCCGGAGCCCGCTAGCAGGAATCCCAGAGCGGCAGCAGTTTGGGGCTCGAACTGTGTCTACTATGTCTTTTTCTTTTATGTATGTAGGTCAGTCGGTAGGTCAGGTCGGTAGGTAGACGAAGGCTCCTTTAAACCGTTGGGTTCCTATCCAAGCAGCAGGATGCTGCGTTGCTCTTGTTGGATGTCACAGTGCGCATGGCGCAGACTTCAAGCTACGACTCAGTGGAGGTCTGCAAGCGATCTTGCAGAAGACATCTGTCGTCCTGCTTGTCTGATCTGTTCTTGTCACTGAGACCCATTCAATGATGCGGCGCCCAGGTTTTCAATAGTCCCTCGCCATCGAGCGCGGAGGTGTCTTTGCCTTCGACACTTTGCTTTGGCGCGTTCCACACATGCAACCAGGGTCTCAGTTATTTTTCAAAAAGGGCTTCAATGGTTTTGAGTAGTCCGAAACTGCTAGACTCAAATACCTTCAATCAACATCACGGTAGCACAGACGAAGGTAGCAGAAGTTGTCTTCATCACTAGCTATCATACAGTAGTACACCGGTGGGCTGGGTCGTGAGAGGCCGGTCAATCCGGTCGAACCTGACAGTATGACCGGGCTGACCGGGTGACCGGACTGACCGGGTGACGGGTGGCCGGGCGGGGCCCGATCACGGTCCGCTCATCCGGCCGGTGCCATGCTCTATTACATTATGTTATATTATAATACATGACACTGTATTATAATATTGTCTTATGTCTTACTATATCCTATTCAATCACGTTCTATGATAGTTTACTATAATATATTATATTTTATTGTATTGTACGGTATTGCACTGTGCTGTATATAGTTATACATTGTATGTCGGAGATTCCGTACATGCTACATGGTATATATTCCGTTATATCTAAGGTCTTACATCTTATGTCTTACATTGTACATTTGCATGTCAAAATTTGATAGTATATATACACAAATATACACACATCTATGTACGTATGTATGTACGTATGTATTTACGATGTATGTATGTATGTGTATGTATGTATGTATGTATGTATGTATGTACGTAAGAATGTATGTATGCATTTGCAGTATAGTACAGCAAAGAATACAGTGTATATTGTATAGCATGTGCATGTACTGTATCATATACACTATATCATGTTTGCTATATGCTTTGGTTTCGGTTGTGCGGCGCGCCACCCGCTTTGTCTAAACAATCTGGGTTTAGTGCCGATCCTGCTGTAATTCGCCTCTTGGGAATCTCACAGAGTACGCAACGCTCAACGACTGATCCTACAATATGCGCTAATGCAATTATTATATATTATCTGTTATTCTACTCTTTTCAAGCATCAGCATATTATATTATGCGATAATTATCATAGCCAAAAAGGCTGGTCGGAGTTGCAGGCTTTCGCGCGCGCTGCCGGTAGCGTCTCGACTCCGACTGCACCGCCGGTGATCCTGCCAAAGGTGCTCGGTGTTCCGTCTCGGGTGTAAGGGGAACAAGCTGGGGCCGGTGCTCTGATCCGAATGTGTGTTTAGGGTTTAGGGTTCAGGATTTAGGGTTTGGGGTTCAGGGTTTAGGGTTTAGGGTTTAGGCTGTGCTTAGCGAATGACTACACTTGACAGCTAGACTTTTGCTGAAAAAATTGGGACCACTAAGGCCGGCAGATGTGACAACAGTTGTCAGTTGCCGATGCCAGGCAGTTCCTAGCCCAAGCAATTGGAGACCCAACGCGGGCCCGGTGGTGCAGGCGCCGACGGGACCTCGACTGACAGTGTAGCTCCCTTGGCAAGCAGCATGCTCACAGGACCTGATCCCCACATGCCTGTGAAGGTCTTTTATTCGACCTCGCCAGTGGCCTCCAGCTCAGTCCGAAAGTGCTGTGGACGGACGACTGGCCGTACACTCCTCGGGCTCTCAGGTCAGTCCATCGAAGCGGTGACTCCTGGTTGCCCGGAAAAAACTAGTCTCTAATACCATAGCACCTTGACCAAGTCTGACCAAGAAGGAAGCCAGAGGCCATTCCTGATTGCATTGTATTTACATTCCCCAAATCCAGCCTGTGTCGACCATCCTTTCAGATCTAGTGGGCCTACGTGCGGTGTGTGAGCTCTTGTGACCTCTGCCTCCACACCATGGGTCGACCGAACCCAGCTGGAGCCCTGAAGTACACGCACAGAGTGTCCACGCACTTAAATATTGCACTTTGGTTTGTCCTTCTATCTCCGTATCTATGTGTATGTACAGAATGTATTGAATGGACAAGTTTGGCCAGGGCTCTACAAGCCTCCGGTGCTTGGGGCAGGGACGCGGATCTTCAAGTCTCCCACCTCTGTTCTGTTGGTTGTGACCGTCGTGAAAATAGGGTCCCAAACGAGCATACAAACACAAGGATCCGACCTTCATATGGTAGGGGCGGCCCTAGCAGTGGGCTTCGACACGTGCAGATTCGAAGGGATCCTGGTGCTTTGTGCCTTTTTTGGGACCCTGTCAGTTTCGATGCACGGCTTGGACGCCGCAACCCCGTCGACCGCTTCGGCACAGCGAAACCAGCTGAGCTACGACGCGGAAAATGCAGTCACTTGCGTTGCTGCAGGGTTTGGGTAGAAGGCAGCAACCTTCGTTGCACAGTTTAAGTTCACAAAATTGCCATCACTTTGCAGCTGCTCAGGCAGCCGTGCACTGTCAAAATGTCGTACGGCTAGAGTTTGTTTACACTCCCTCAGATTAACTGGCGACACATTGCCCATTGTGAGATGGTGTTGTGCATTCTGACCTGTTGTTGCGCACTTGCATCTGGTCATAATCCGTGATTATGTAGTCAAGAACCACGCGACGTAATCCTCCACAGTGTTGGAAGATGTGTCTGTGTATTGCCATCAGTGTTCTGAGCTACCCAGTAATTATCACAAGCTTCAGGGTGGTACACCGGGTCTTGTGTAATCTTCCACATTCTTGTCATACCTGCATTGCATCTACTTTCCAACACAGCCTTGTGTAACTTATTTCTTACAGCTCGTATATCGTTGATGATGCAAGTATATATGCTGTTGGTCGTTCAATGCACTATACGCCCTGTTGCAAACAACTATGCGTGATTACATGCTAACGTTGTTGCCACACGATCCTACCTCGATTATTCGTTCTTCAACATGAGACGGCCTATACCTCGATTTTAAAGCAGACCTGATCGCAACAAGGTCCGGCCTTCAAAGAAGCTCACTCTCTCAAGCTTTGGATGCTGCAGGGTGATCGCGGTTGATGCTACCATGATCATCCTGGTGTGGGTCCAGTGTGGGTCGCCTTATGATTGAGACTGGTGTTGCTGATTTTTGTGTTGTGAGGGTACTTGGGTACTCTTGCATTTGCGACAATGACCTGAAACTAGAACATCGTCTTGATCGTAACAGCGACGGGGACGAGGAAGAGTATGATCATGACAGTGTCGATGACGATGGATATTTGAATCGAACTCTTTAGTTGTTGCAGTTGTCATCGCTCATATCCCTCTGATGACTGGTATGCATCATGGTTAGTGATGATGCTAACGGCGCTTTTGCTGATGGTGGTGATGATGATTTTGATTCTTCGAGAATCGCCATAATCATCACTGAGCGATCAGAACGACGGCGTTAATGATCGTGATGATGGTGAACATGACGACAGTGCTGTCTGCCTTGCGGTCTTCAGTCTAAACGTGGCTGCCTCTCTGGGCAGATGAAAACGGCGAACCTGGACAACTTCGATGCTATTCACGAGGAGGTTGCGAAGGTTATGGAGAAGGCACCGCCGGCCGAAACGTACGATATCATACGGCTGTCGGTCTGGCTTCGTGGGTTGTATGATGTATATTCTGCTTATCCACATCCAAAGGGACCTAGCTTCTGTATAAGCCACAAAAGGTTAACAGTCATGACTATGTCTTGATAATTTCAGCATGTGTTGCGTACTGCCTAATGTATGAGTACTGTATGATGCATGAACGCGTTTAGTAATGCTTCATGTGATCTGTCCTTCTTGCATCCGACATTTCCAGTTGCTGTAGACCTAAACCTGAACCACACGGAATCTCTAGGAGCTCGACAAGTGCGGATCCATGAAGATCATGATTCAAGGGGAGCACGACAAGGCGGGCAGCAACTTGATGGGGATTTGGGATCATAGCAAAGGAGAGTCCATGCATCGTACTGGACACAGTGGTGTCTTTCCACACGGCTTCACCCACGCAAGCTGAACCTCTCAAGCGGTCTGGACACCGGTGCCAGGGCTGGGAGCAAGTGAAGATGCGGATGGAGCAACTTCAAGCCGCAAAGCAAAAGATCCAGGAGATGGAAGAGAGCACATGCTTAGGGTGTAGGATTGCAGTTTCTGGGGACGTAGAGCCTTGTTCGACCCTGCCTGTCCACATTGCAGTCGTTAGAGATCGTTAGAGTCCCACACGCTTTCAGGATGGCAAGAGTGACAGTACCCCGTAGAAAGCATAGTAAAGACAAAAGCAGTAGGGGCATTGGGAAATGCTGCTGTAGACAGTTACATGTTATGTACTCTATGCTGTAGAATATATCTGTTGTTTTCTATTCTACGTATTATACATGATCTGTTTTGTGTTACATATAGTATTCAATCATATAGTTCATCCTGCTCGGGCTAGGGCTCCAAGAGTGTATCCGGACTTGTTATGGCAGTAGTTCATCGGAAGTTGCTAGTGTAGTGATGATGACGGGTCTTCCTGGAAGTTCCATAACGAATTTCAAGAATTGCCTTGCTGACAGGAGCAGAAGAGAGTGGCCAAGGCAAGACTCTGATGTCCGTTTTTGGGGTTTGTGTTTAAGGGCGTACCCTCAAGCCCAGAACCTTATCATCTTCCTGCGTGTTTCAAGCTTGCCGTGAGAGTCTGAGGATGACTCTTGCCTTGGTAGGAGAAGGCGGAGATCCATGTGAAGGACATTGATCACGAGCCACCACTGTGAGTATGATTTGCTTGAGTTGCAGCATCTCTTTCGGCTTCGGTCTGGATTCGGTTGAAGTTGTTGGGGTCAGGACCAGTATGCGCGCGATTTCTAGCACGAAAGACGGTTCGTGCTAGCTTTACTATGCTCTGATCTTGCGGTCTTGCAGTGCTCGCGTTTTTCTTGCGTTCAACATCAGACGCAGTTGTTTGAGCAACAGCCTTTTGGAAGCTGCTAAGTTTCAAGCCAGGGTCTTGCATGACGTTACCAATCGTCCACTACTACCACTACCACCACTACTACTACTACTACTACTACTACTACTACTACACTACTAGTCCTGCTGCTGCTGCTGCTGCTCCTCCTCCTCCTCCTACTACAACCGCTACTGCCACTGCTGCTGCTGCTGCTGCTGCTGCTGCTGCTGCTGCTGCTGCTGCTGCTGCTGCTGCTGCTACTTGCTACTGCAGCTGCTACTGCTACACAGGCGTTCCCTTAGTTATCTTGGGTTATAAC